CCGTTCTAGCTAGTCCTATGTGACATGTACTAGAAAATGTCTGAAGCTAGAGTTGTCAAACTAAGCTAGTTTTATGCTTACTTTCAAAACAGATGCTGTGAGCCAGAACCTATTCTGATACTTGCTGAAAACAGAAAGTAAAGAGGAGCTGCATTTAGCTGAAGTAAAAATGATTTGTATGACAAAAGTTGATGTTAAAGATGGATAACAGAAATTAAATACTTTAAATCAATGGTCATTTGTAACTCTGCAGCAAACTATGGCCCTCAGATGGCAGGATCTCAACTGTCTTATCCCGGTGCTTTTCCTGGAGGTCCAGCACAGCTCTCTGGTCCACCACAGAAGAAGCTTGATCCTGACTCGATTCCAAGCCCAGTGAGTAACAGGCCACTAATTTTTTATGAATTTCTGCTGCATTGAAGACAAAGTAAAGTCAGTGCTGATATTCTAACTAGAACAGTTTGCCTAAACATCCTTCTAGGTGTTACAGCCTTGTAAAGATTTCAGTAGCTTAGAATATAATTAATGCTTCAGCTTCACACAATTCAAAAAGGTTCAGTTGTTGAAACATGCCTGAATATGCTCTGGTGGGACTTTGCCTCTTCTTTTTAGAATAATGATAGAGGAAAAATAAAACAAGGGATAGTTTGTCCATCTACTGCTAAGAAAGTAGTCTAAGTATTACCCAAAGGAGTATCTTGTTAGATTCAGGATGTAATTAAATTGTTTTTTATTGGTAATAGTTGATCAGAGTTGGGGGGAGGGGAGGAGGAAGTGTACTGAACTCCTGGGGAGAGCACACACTGATGCACACGGTTCTACAGGTTCTGGTGATCACTTGGACACTTTGAAAGGTCTTTGGAGAGTTAGGGCTCTTGAAGCAGACTGTCTTGCAACTACAGGGCAGAACCTTCTACTAAGCTCTTCTGAGTGAAGGAATCTTCCACTCCTTTGCTGAAGCAATACAGCTGTACAGGAAAGGATTTGTATTTTACGGTGATGAGGGGAAGCCCTGTAAGGCAGCGTGCAGCCATGCTTCCTTCTATTGGGATATTCCTTTGTTTTATCCAATGATGTTTTTACTGGAAAATTGAAAATATCCTAAGAGTAACGTTAACAACTGCATTGCCTCCATTAAATGCAGTTTTCAAGTTAGATGCAATTGAAGATCACTGTGTGTTTTAATACAAACAGACAGAAAAACAACACACGCGCACACCAAAAAAACCAAAGTGTCATAATTAGCAAATGTAGGCAGTGGCCTTAATGATGTTTCTGTATGGTGTTTCAGTATGGTAATTTTACATAAGAAGGATAAAATCATCATGTCTAATATATTTAAAAAAAAAAAAAAAGCGGTTTGAAGAGAGGGAGGTCTGGCATGTGAGCATGGACTGATGTCTTGTTTCAATTATGCACATAGAATAAACTTTACTGTGACAGTGATGCTAAAATAGGTTAAAAGGTTTGTTTTAGCAGCACAGAGAGGATCAAAATGACATGTTTAAAAGCAGCACCATCTGGGTCAATGTCTGAAGAGGGGAAAAAAGCTGATTAAGTATGACTGAGTGTAATTCTCTTGTTATATTTACATTATACAATTACAATAGTGTTGTCAGATAAATTTACTTCTTATCTGTAACCAATTGTTGATGTATGTTGTTTTATATATGTTGGAGGCTGATATGTGCTCTGACAGCATCTGTGAAAATCAGCATGTGGTTTCCAAGAACATGGTATTATTTCTAAGAATGATGATATGTTTAGGTCAGTTAACTGCAGAATAACACGGTGCTATGATCCTTTGCAGAGCTGAGTCTTGAAAATAGTTTGCTTCCTTCAGCCAATGGGTGTTTGAACAAAGCCTCTTTCCCTATTCATGCAAGAGTTAGCGAAAGTAGACCAGCCAAGCAGGCAGGGAAAAGTAATCAAGCAGAAGATAAAACAAGCTCTGAGGAATGTATTGTATGTTTAAATAGCTATACAAAAACTTAATAGAGAGAAAATTTTACAGGCCCCAGATTATTTCCAGTGTGTTAGGAAATACCTCTTAAACAATGATCAATAGACTCTGCACTGACCAGTTTTGTTTTTCTTCTCTGTTTGCTTTCCAACTGAGGCTTCTGAAATATCCCAGCTATTATTAGAAAATGATGTGCAGTGTAAAGATACAATTGCATGGGATACTGGCAGCAGTGGCAAAGGCAGTTTCAGAAATTCCCAGTTTCCTTTTTTTTTTTTCTTTATTTTTTTCTCATAGCTGTTAGGCTACACTCTAAAATGTGTTGCTGAACAGAGATCTCCTTTGAGCAAAAAGAGTAATAATGGTATCTCAGTGATCCAGTTTATGGTGTGGACCAGTGTACAGCTTTATATATTTTATTCTGATAAGTATTAAACAGCATGAAGGACTGTGCAGAAGTGACAGTATTAGAAAGTATATATAAAGGGAATTTGTTCAGTACTACAGCCAGCTTCGTGAGTATGTAATGAAAATACACCAAAGCTTGCTGTAAACTAGGCATCAACCAAAATAAATCTGTACATGATCAGAGCTGCCTCTCAAGAAGTTTTCTATGATTGCTCTTGTTTATTTTATCCTGGGAGGAAACTCACAACATGGGGCTGGCTCAGGGATTGAGAACACTGAGCTCCAGTGCTGAAATACTACTTAGTGGCCAGCAAGAATTTCTTGGGGATTGAAATTACTGCTTTCTAAATGACAGTGCTGAAAATAGCTCAGCAAGGAAGGTCATGTACTACATAGGTTATCATTCAAGTCTTAACCGTCCTGTGGATGGAGTCTAGCAGAGGAGCTAAGGGCCAACTCTTCTCACTGTTGCAGTCTAATAAATCACCTGCACGCTGATTTATCAAGAGCAGCTGCTGGCACAGTTGTGGTAATAGAAAATACAACCTGGAATATGTGGCATATGAGTCAGGTGATGCAACCTGTTGGCACTTTAGTTTGATTTCAGAGTATGGAAGACCTGATGCAGTAGCAAGGATGTATTTTTACATAATCACTTTTCTTGATTTGCTGGCTAGACTTTCTTGAAAATGTCTGTCCTCCTTGCAGTCAACATACTCTGAACAATTCACTTGCTCACTACACAGTGGTCTGGTCAACCCCTATGTGTAACATTTCCTCTGCAGAGTTCCAACAGGCAACTTTCTCTTTGAGTTATACTGTCTAGTTCTTGACTGCACTAGAAGTTTGTATGTGAGAAGTTAATGGGACATTTGTATAAGAAAATGTCAATAGATTTACTTGGCGTAGATGTTAATGGTTTATGAATGTACCTGAATGCGTGGCTAACCTTTCTCATACTGTTCTCGCTTCTTATTCATCAGATTCAAGTAATTGAAAGTGATAAAGCTTCTAGGGGAGGGCAGATGTATGCTACAAACACAAGAGGACAGGTTCCTCCTCTTGTCACCACTGACTGCTTAATCCAAGATCAAGGTAACTGTTTTTGTTACTGCTTTGGGAATCTTCTTAGGTAAAAGCAAATGAATATATGTGTATATACATGAGTAAATTCTCACATGATCTAGAAATGGTGCTCCTTAGTCTTGAATTGAACATGGAATGGGAAGGTCATTCCCTTTGGAGGGGTGGAAAAAAGGAGAAGTGGAACAAATGGGAATTGAATTCTCACACCTTTGGTTAACTCTAGTGAAATCCCTGAGATTGCCTTACCCCCATCTCTGTGCTTGCTGATATTTAAAATAATAAGAATAATTGACGCAACATTTCTTTTCAGTTTGAACATTTTCAAGGTTTTCAAGTTGAAAAGCATCGTCAAATTATTCTGAAACTTTAAGAGATAGATATTAACAAGAAGCAATGAGCCTGGCACTGTTGTACATTAAGATATAAATTTTGGAATGTTTTGTTGAGGTTATAGGGACAGAGCATGAGCTGCCTAGTTGGCTTAATGTTTTCATTTGGTTAGTGTATCTAGTTTGCTTCTGCCTAGAGCCTGTAAATACCATACTGCACGTGTTGCTCCTGGCAGCAGACTTGATACTTTAATACAAACTAAACTGATATTATAATTTAGACCAGCATCTATATCTCAGCCAGGAAAATATTTGCCTACAGGAGGAGGCAATAGGCTGACATAAAGAGATGATAAGGGCAGAAGCTTGGAAGGAAAGCATACATTTAATTTAGGAATCTGCACTTGTTGCTTTGTTTTTAATCTTGGTATGTGTTTGGAACAGACAGACACCTTTTCTCTCTCATTGTGCCTGCTTTGTTGGGTGTTCTAGGTCATGCCAGCCCTCGTTATATCCGATGTACTACCTACTGCTTCCCGTCATCTTCAGATATGGCCAAACAGGCTCGTATTCCCCTGGCAGCTGTCATCCAGCCTTTTGCTATTGTTCCACAAAATGAGGTAAAGTCTAATGAAGTATCAGTCCCTTGTGATTTTGTCTCCTAAATGCTACTGACTTCTTTGAATGGGATGGAGGGTGCCTTATCTCTGACTGAAGGAATTAGAGACGTGAGAAAGAGCCACAGGAAGGCTATGAGTTGCACTTAAGTCAGGATGCAACTTTAAGGGGTAAAAGTCTTTGGAAAGATACAAGAGAGATACTTATGTAATGTAAACTACTAGTTTTTGGTGTTGCCCCATCAGTCCCTAATTTACTGTCAGTTCCTGGAATTATATAGGTATAGGCAGAGATGTTAAGAGTATAGTCACGAGCTGTATCAAGATATTCTAGGGTTCATATTATTACAAGGACAGTTACTTTCAAACTGTCATTTTTCCATTTTGTTCTTGACAATTTGTAATGCTGTAACACAACGCAAAGCATAGCAATGACAGCATATTAGCAAAGTCCTGGGCTGCAGCAGGTGAGGATATGCCCAAATGCAACAGCTGTAGATACAGAAACAAAGGAAAGAATCTGCTTACCTTTGGAAGGCCTCAGGTAGGCAGGGATCTCTAGCAAGATATACCCTTGCCTTCACTGCCGACCCTTAAATGAGGTCTGGGAAGAGGTAGATCCTGGTTCCACCCCTTCCTGTTACTCAGATGTATTACATGCACCTGAGCTCCCTGGGCTGGCCTTGCCCTCCCACCAGGAGCTCAGTGTCTGGTTCAGGCCATGACTAAGCATTTCCACTACACAATTTAATTTATTTTCAAAATAGCCTAAGATGAGAGGGACATTTTCTACTTGGTTGAACTGAGCCATAGGAAGAAGACAAATGTAACCACACTTCTTGGTACTCATTTGGAAACATTAACCTAGTCAATTGATTTTCTTGCGTTACCATCTTTAATAGTCCTTCATATTACAAACACAGCCCTATTTCATTTGCAGAATACTCCACAGATTGATAATGTCCTGTGGTCTCAGGACAGTTGCACAGATTTTCTGGCATTCCCAGTGGACTGCATCAGTAGCAGGGATACAGTCAGTTCTTAAACACAGCACTTAATTGCATCATCCGTAGGGCTGTCCTTTCTTACCTTCAACTGGCTGCCTCCTTCATTGCAGGACTTCTAAGTTCTGCAGCTGATGTTTTGCAGACAGCATTTCCTTTTTCTATGCAACTCTTACTAGCTTTCAGAGCATTGCTTGCTAGAAAAAAAAAAAAAAAAGCAAACAAGAATGTCATGTATGTTACTGTATTTGATTGTGTCTTCACAAATTCTTTCATAAAACATAGACACAGAAAAGCCTAATTAAAATTACATAGACTTTCAGTTTTTGCAGTTGTTGATTTTCTTGAATTTTGTTTTATTGCTTGTAAATTCTTTGTTTTGTTTTTAAATAAGTTAGAAAGAAAACAGATGCTGTTCTTTATCAGGATGGATAATTTCCAATCCAACAGATCTCTGTAATTTGAATTAGAAGTTTGATTTTAGCAGAGCAGTATGTAGTCATTTTCTCTGGGGTCCACAGGGAAATAGCATGTATTACTTGCAGTTCTGCAAATTGTACGTGTCACCATTTGTCTACTAGATAGCAATTTTGATTTTTGTTCTGGTTCTTGAAGGGAATGTGTGGACCTGGCTTCTTGCCCGCTGCATTTTCTCCTATATGAGACTCCTGCTGTTGCTTTTTCCACATCTTCACCTTACTAGCCAACCTTCCTTCTTTAGTACTCTCTACAGTTTCTGTACCCACACAGCATATATCAGCTCTGCTGTCGTGTTGATGCCTGTTTCCATCTTTCACTTTGTCTGCTTCTAGACATTTATGCTTACCATATGTGGCTTCCCTGTCTTCTGTGGAGCGTTTGGATAGGGTGATCAGTGAGTTGCTAAAAATCTAAATCTGCTGCATACGTAAATTAGCAGTATGTGCTAACAGTTACACTTGGCCAAGTTCAGGAAGATTTTCCCAGGGTTGGCAAAAAGTTGTATGTGGTGGCCCATTAACTCTGAAGAGTTAGTGGAAAGGTCAGCAGGATTCGTTATCTGTAAAGAGCAGTGTGGTTTTAACCCTGCTTCATTGTCAGAAGGGACTAGAAAAATCTCTCTCATAAGTGGCAAAACTCCATTGCGGAAAATTTCCATGTGAACAGCTGTAGCTTGGTAGAGTTATAAGAACTGAAGAAATAGTGTTACAATAGGAAGTACTGGAGAGTTTTAGCTGAGACAGTTTTTCCAAGACTTGCCTATGCCCTTTATCTTCACTGCTGCTGCCAGAATAATTTCTTACTCTTAAGATCTCATAATAAAAATGGTCTTCCATGTGGGGTTTATAACCACTTTAATTCTGTAAAGCCAATTAATTTGAAAGAATGGAGCTTTTTATGGAGGTAAAATATATTCAAGGGTTTGCTTGTGTTTCTGAATTTCCTACTATGGTGCTTTCTGCTTGGAACTAATGACTGCAAGGCACAGAGTGTTCTTTCCAAATATCTTGCCTATCTCATGGATGCTTTTTTTAACAGTGCCAGCAGGTGATGTTCAACACATGTTACAGAGCTTTGTTCTGAGTGCAGATCTGTCTATTATCTCAAACTATTGATATGATAAAAAGCATGCCATATAATAGTAACTTAAAAATCATGATCTTTTTTTCCTAACCTTTTGATTAATAGTTCTCATTCCTTCAGTTTTGTTGCAGCCTTAGCTGCAGATCTGCCTCCATTTCTAATATGTGCTAGCACACAGAATTTGAACTCTCTCTTTTCAATTGAAAATGAAGAAAAATAATAGTTAGAAAAGCTTTTCTGGACCAAAAGCTGTGAAATGCCTACAAGTGGTATGTGCAGCTGGTAATGTGATTAGGAAGAGTTGAAAAACTGACCTGTCTGGATTTCAGCAAATCCATGTGCTCTGCAGAATCTGTTATGATGCACATTGTGTAGAGCCCATTTTTCTGTGTTGGTAAAGATATGTTTAAAAAGCTGCGTACTTTTCAAAGTCATTTGAGCAACTAATACACTTGCAAGTATTCAATAAATATAATTCTTAATTATTTTGCTCTTATGGTTGATGAATTTGAAATAGTATATAAAATATGTTTGTATTTTCAGTGGTCTTATTGTCATAGAATGTATGTAATTCTTCTCTATGCCATTTCCTTATTAGGGCAGTTAGAAATGGGAAAAAGCTTACCTTGCTTATAGATAATTAAGCATACAGTATGGTCTTAACATGGCTTGCTCACCCTTTCTGCAGCCTTGAATGTGGGTTTCAATTTGCTGAGAGGACTGTTGTTTGCATGAGTGAAGCACGATGGTTCTGTTCAAGTGAATGGCATTGAAAAGTATGGGCCATCTTTTCTCCCATCTGTGCTTTATGGATGCAATTCAGATCACACTGTGCTGAAACAACAAACATTCATTTAAAAAAAAAGTTAATGATAATAGGCAATTCTACTCCCACCAGTAGATATAGATGTGTATATGAGAGGAAGAGCACAGTTGTACAAACTTTTTTCCTCTCTTAATTGAACGCAGTCACCGTTTTGGTACGTGACTTGTAAGTGGCATAGTTACATGTTGGTGCAGTTGGAGGGTTATGCACTCTGAGTGTCTCCTGCTGGCTGTAAAGCGTAAACTTAAAACAGCAGAGCACTGTGCCGAATGCTTATTGCCTCTGCAGGCAGGAGGAAGGAGTGCCTGAGGGATTCTTCATTTATAGGAACAGGGAAGAAGAACGGGGCTCTCTGGTGGAGTTACATGTGTGCTGGAGATGATAGCCATCACTTTGCAGTCAAATCTGTTTTGTTCCTGCTCCTCATCAGTAAGGAGATCCTCTGAGAAGTTTCACAAACTAGCTCTGTTTGGAATTTACTGGCAAGGAGGCTATGTTAATTTGTATAGCTCTTAAATTAAACTAGCTTCTACAGGTTATGCAGAATTCTATTCTGACAAACAGATTTTTACTTCCCCCCCCCCACCCCCCCTCTTTTCGTATTTTACTCTGAAGGATCAGTAGTGTTCTGTCTGACAGAGCCTGAATGTCCCCAGAAGTTTTGGAATTCATACTGTCATGAATTCAAAAAGCTCTTCAATTTTATTTGTGGAAACAGCAATCAACTGGAACTTGAGCTTTACACGTTTGTTTTTGATCCTGTGAGTTTTCAATTATAAGGTTTAAGTCCAGTAGTTTTCTCAGGAATACTTTTTCCAGTCTGAAGGTCCAGTTTGGACAAAGAAAATTTCAGGGCTTCAGTACGTATGAAAAGCAGATTGAAGTTTAGTAGGTCACTGTGGGTTCTCGTGGGGAGGGTGGAGTGTCACACGCACAAACACACCTTGGGTTCCATCTCCAAAAGTGACATTAGAACTGTTGCCTTCTGCAGGGAAAGGATTATTTTGTGAAATGGAGTCTAGGAAAAATATCCCTTAGGAGCTGAGAAATACAAAAGCGTGAGCTGGGGTGTTTTTTGAAGATATGTACAACAGATATCTCTATTCTCATTAAGGAATGGGATACAAGTTATCCCTGTGGGAGTAGATAGGAACACAGAGTGAAACCAACACAGTGCTAGGTAAAGATGTTAAACGTAAATATTTATGCCTTTAAATCAGTACAGCATGTTTCATGAAAACAAAAACAAGACAAACCACACCAGGATTTTTCTCTGCAACAAGAAGGGATCTTGAAAAATTAGAGAAATACTGTGTGTAGTGATTGGACAGATCAAAATGATGGGAAAGGCATTACAACAGAGGTGTGATAACGGAAGGACCAGCACGATAGGAAGGTGCTATAAAGGAAGGGAAGAAGGTTACTCACCTGATTCAGAAAATTCTAGGTTCACAGGGCAAAGCTTCACCAAGGAAGGATCTCTGGTTAGAGATCCTTCCCCAGTGGCACTCAGCCCTTCAATGAGGTCTAAGAGAGGTGCAGCCAGGCTCCACCCCTTCGGGTCACACAGCTGAATTGCCTTCACCTGTGCTCCCAGGGCTGACCGGGTCCTTTCCCCAGGTGCTCAATCAGTGGTTCAGGCCATGACTCAACAGTTCCCATACATTGTGGAATGAAAAGACAGAGATACTGTGGCTAAATATGCTGCTAAAATTCCCCAGGGAATGGAAACCCTGTAGAGTGGTGGTATGTCTGAGAAGTTCTGTAACATTTAGAAATCTGGAAGCCCTGAATGAAGAGGACTTGAGACTGACTTAAGTGAATACAGATAAAGGCATAAAGATATACTATTAGGCTGCAATATTAGTCTTCAGATCAAAAGAGGAAAACTCAAATCCACAGCAATGAAAATGAATGAGAAAGATGTAGTACGGCTAAGTCACAGGATTTCAGGTGCTCGCATGTGACTTGGTGCAATTGCAAAATGAGGTTGTTCTAGAGAAGTTGTTTATGGAAAGCTTAAACAGATGCCAGATTGGCCTTGCTGAAGCAAAGCTTGGAGGGTTTATTTCAATAGTGGTAAATCACAAGTAGGAGCTAATTTAAGTTGCAGGCATAGGCCATTCAATAGCAATCACTGTACAGTCGTGTTTGATGTTCTGAGGACAGCCACACTTTGCACACAGACACTGGGCTTCAGAAGAACAGAGAAGTGAAATGAACTTATTCAGAAAAGTCCTCAAATTAAAAGAGAGGCAGAGTCCATTGAAGCTACACAGTCTGTCGCATAGATTACTACGAAAGACAAAAAGCCTTCCACAGCCAATCTACAAAACTATGCTAGGGAGCTTCACATACATGCTGTGTATCATTAGAAGCAAAGGTCATTGGAAAATTTATGCTTCCCCATCCCCGGTCAGTGTCTAAGCATCTCTTGCTGAATCTTATTTACATTTAGAATCTTATTTCTGAATCTTAACTATACTAGGTCCTTACTTATTATGTCTCAAAAATAACCATTCATTTTCACTCTCCTCATTTGGATGATCTATGTAAAGTATTTGTTTGTTAGAGATTTTGACAGTACAGTATCATTGTTCAACAGAAGTTATTTTTAGTCCACGAGTGCTTTAGCAACAGTCCATAAAAATAAACCAGCTCTCATAGTTGTCATCATGGACCAAGCTCTAAATTAATTTGTTTTGGAGATGCATGACTGTTTCCAGAGCCTGAATAAAACCATGTGATAAAAAAAAAAAAAAAAAAAAGCTAGTTAAAAGAGTATTTCATGTTTTAAAATCAAATGTGGATAATTCTAAATAATTATATATATTTCTAAATATTTAAATATCCTAAGTGACTTTCTTTTTTTCTTCTTACTATTGTGTTTTGTATAGTTTTCTCTACAATATTCTGTCCTACTTATTTTTTTTCCTCATAAAAATACTTGATAGTAGGAATTAAATATGTCAGTTTCTGTTTTCTCCTCATTTAATTAAAAGATAAAAACATATAACTTGAATGGAATTACTTCTAAGAAATGCTGGTGTTCATGAGCTGAAAGCCATTTAACCTTTTTGAAAGAATATTGAGATTTGATTGTGACCAATCCAGCTGACCTGTTTGGAAAGCCATAATATTTACAGGTATGATACGAAATTTCCTAGGTAGGGTTGTGTCAGTTCTATAAGATAAGCAGAAACTAGAAAGTGAACAAGGTAGATAAATAGCACATGATGCAATGTTAATTTTTTTGTGTGTGTTTCAAGAACAAAGTAGCAGAGCATGAATTATCTTTTAGATCCCAAGACTGTTCTTTTGTTTCAGAAAACATTCAGATGTTAATTAAATTTGAAGAATTAAGGGAAGTCACTGCACTCTTTTAATCTATCATGGGTTCAGTGAGGACTCAGGGGTTCTGCAGTTCATATTCAGTGGCTGTTAATTTTGACAAGCAGGCTGTAGTTTTAATTTGATGCACATTGTTATTAAGCAGATGCATTTTATAATGGTTATGTGCTTCTGCAGAGAACTGGTTTGAGGGGAGTGGGGAGCACTTAGTTTCAGGCCATATGAAATGACTTAAAGGAAACATCTTATTAATTGCTCTTTTCCACTGGGAATATTAAAAAGCAGAATAGGTCTTTGAAGTGCTCACAGATAGCATCTACCCACTGTACAATTTCTTTTTGTTTTTTGTTTTTTAGTTTTGCCTTTTGTTTTCTCTCTCACTTAGTTACTCTCAGAAAAACCTTTCCCAGTGTTATGTGAGAGCCTAGCTAATTTAATGGCTTTTCTTGAGGGATTCTATTAAAATATATATATATTTAAGAGTACATTATATGAACTAGATCATACTTATCTGCATGCTGGCTGGCCCTTGGCAGAATCCAATAGATTGTGTCATGGCATCCCTCCTCATAAGCCACATCATCTCTTCTTCTGTGTATACTTTTAATCAACGTGTCTTTTGATGTTCTCCTCCACTGTAGCACCTACCAATTTGCTCTCTGCAAAAGTAAGACTTGCTGGTCTTTAGCTCAAGGATCACCCAGAAGTTCTTGTAAAGTTTATTTTTCTATGGGTGCCACCTTTCCTTTTGGATGCTGAAGCTCATGTAAGCATTTGGTTTTATGCCATTCAGCAGTTTTAGACTGGGTCTTTTTAGACAGAAGTTGTATGATTAGACAGTAAAACTGTCTATACTACTAGAAAGCTTTTATAAATAGCAAAATATGGTAGTATTAAAAAATAAAAAATCTGAAGACTGTGAAAAGTGATTAGCATTTATTTTGCCCTGTTCTCTGTTTTGAACTATCTCACTCTTCTTTGTTGGCTTGTAATTCAGTAATCCCCACATGAACTTGGGATTTTACTTAACTGAGATTTCTCTTCATGTTTATCACTGCTGGAAATGAAATGTCAGAGCTTTTTGAATGTTTCCTGATCTTTTTGCTTTGTGTAGGCTACACATCACCCTTTATATTGAGGCTTTTGTTATTGTTTCATGTTGTCAATACTCCTCTCGAGTGTAGGTAAGAAAAGCTTCCTTCTCGTAAGCAGAAACAGCAGCTGTTGACCAGTGAAAAGATAATATTTTGCTATCTTTGAATAGTAAGTTGGGTGTGTTGCATTGCCTGCTGTGTGGCTCTCTGGGTTGTCAAAGATCCAGCAATGTATGATTTTTGTCAGTTTGTTCTGGACACACTGTGAAGCAGTATGTGCTTGTTGTCATCATGTTCTTCCAAAACATTGTGAGTTTGGAAGCCTTGTTCACCTGTTATAATTTAATAGTTAGGACACTTAGTTTGTCTGTGATGAAATGCTTCTTCACTCTCCAGGAATGAGGGGTGGAGAATACCAAGCTACCAAGCAGTCTGTATATAAAAGTTAATTGCCTCTATTTAGACTTCTGGAGATGGAAGATGGTGGACCAGAAAAAAAGTGCACGCACACCAGTACTGCCTTGTAGATTACAGCTAGGCAAGTAAACTTAGAGACAAGGCTGAGCTGTAGGACATTGCTCCATGTTCTTACAGCTGCTTTATATTTTTACAATCAAATCCATTTTTGAGTTACTTGGAAAAGTCTGTGTGTCTATCCTGAACTTGTATCCTGAACTCATCACTGTGTAAGTACCACGTTAAATGTGAGCCAAGTGTTACTATTTCATCTATTAAAATAAAACATATTCCAAAGCATCCCTTCTGACACCGACATTTGAGAGATAGAAATGTTATACTCTCATCTTGTAGTTCGGTCTGAATTCTGGAGGAGGATGCTGAGCTTTGTTGCTCTATCAGTGTTTATTGTTTTGTTGTTGTTGTTTGATGGGGTTTGTTTGTTAGTTTGTTTCTGTTGTTGTTTGTTTGTTTTTTCCCTACTGGCATGCATGGTATGAGCCCAGAGCTCATGTGTGTCTCCAGATGCTTCACCTGGAGAGCTTTACATCACTTTGGAAGCCAGTTCTTGTAAGCTAGGTTATGCAGTGCCTAATTTAGAGATATGTAAATCCTGTATTAGATAAGGCTTTCTTTATGGAGTATGCTTTGCACTACTCTTCATTTGGAAGTAAAACATTTGGAGTTGGATTGCTTCCCAGAACAGCTTCATCTAGGAGAAAGTTTTTAGCCTGTTGGGCTGTAACTACAGTCTAACTAGAATGAAGAGCCAAAGTTAGCAGGAGTTTCAGCAGCAGAGCTTGTCCTAATTGAAGTAAATTTCCGTATTTAATTATTTTCCCTTTTGTCTGTAGGGTAAATCTTAAAATGCTGTTTGTATTTCTGTAGTGTTGCTCCATGTATTATTGTGGAATGGAAAACTTGGGGACAGTGGATTGGAAAATTGACGTTCATCTTGTTCATCTTGTTTATGTTTTAATTGGAGATCTTGATAAATTTGTACAGATTTGAAAGGTTGGCCAGGAAAAGGTGCATTTCTAAAGATGGAGGTTAATGTGATGTAATTAGTTTTCTGTAAGCTGGAGATTATCTGTTTTTCAGAGTGATAATGCAAGAAGAGAAGACTGACGAAGCAAAAGTGAATAATGAAGGCAAAGGGGATTAAAAAATAATCTTCACAGCCACGTAATTGTTATGCCAACAAAAATTACACTCAAGTAAAAAGTGGCTTTGGCTATCAGTAGATACATCTGCAATTCAAAATAGCAACCTGAATGTCATCTGACATTCTTTGTGTACGTTTTCCTTTACAGGCTGCATTTTACTCTCCTGAAGTGGTGTTTCCCTCCTCTTATACTCTAGCCAAAGTTGATCGTAGCAACAGCAGTAAATTAAACATTCTAAGTTTGCAAGCTGTAACATTAAGCCTTCAGAGATGTCACTGAGTTACCTTGGAAACTTCACACAGTCAGAATGTGCTGGTGCTTAGTTCAGGATGAAAAGCTTGTATTTTGCTTTTTAAACTGAAGTTATTCATGCACATTCAGTTTGTGCATATTTTATTTATTTGTCCAGTAGTACAGAATCATATTTTGAATGGATCAATATGGATCAATATGAAGTATGTAATTGCATAGGAAAAATGAGATTTTGTTAAGCTGAATACAAAGCTGATGTGGCTTGATTTTATTTATTATTATTATTTTAATGATCAGATTTTTTTTTCAGTAT